TGCATATTGGGATTGATGCATTGTGAGAGTTCGAGCAGAACGATCTCGAACAATGTGGAATCCGAGAATAAAAGTGAGAGCCCCAAGGTCATGCATTCGAAAACGCGATGACAGACCATGTTTGATGGTGCGCATCATGTCCGGTGAAGGAGCCATGATGACTAGGTCGTCAACGTAGACGCCGATGTAAACGGCATGGCCGTCCATCTGCTTGGTGAAGACACAGCGGTCTTTGACGAGCTGGGTGTACCCTTGCCGGCGCAAGTAGGTAGCTAGTGTCTGGTACCACAAGCGAGGGTGCTTGAGACCATAAACACTGCGGAGGACCCGAAAAACGTCGCGGCGATTCTTCGCGGTGTCAAATCCAGGCGGATGTTTGACGTAAACCTCGTAGTCGATCTCTCCGTTGAGAAAGGCTGTGATAACATCCATCGCATCGATCTCGTAGTCGAGAGACGCGCCAAGAGTGAGCATCGTTCGGAGGATTTCTTTGGCAATGACCGGGGAGTAGCTCTCCTCGTAGTCCACGCCTTGAATTTGTCTGTGTCCTTGGATCACAAGTCGCGCTTTGTAGCGAGCGACACGTCTCATAGTCTCTGTGGCCGAGTCGTCGTATTTGATTTTGAACACCCAACGCATGCCCAGTGGTATCGCATCTGGAGGCAAGGTGGCTGGTTCGAACGACCCGGTCGCCTCATGGGCTGCCAGCTCGAGCATCATGGCTTCAAGCCACTGCGCTTTGGCTGGCGATTTCATCGCCTGTTTGTAGGTCTTAGGCTCCTCGGAAGGAGTCGTGTCCTTGAGGGTGAGGAGGATGTGTTGCGGCGTTGAGAGAGATTGAGCACCTGAGGCGTCCTCAATATACGACATCAGCAGCTGAGCTGGACCGTCGCGTGGACATGTCCGCCGTGTCCAGTGTGGTAGACGTAGATGGGACGACGTACGGCACGTGCTATCGCCGCTGCTCGAGACCGTGAGGGTCGAGGCGGAATTGCGAGCAACTGGGTTGTCGTATGTGACGACGTTGAAGTGGAGGTGGTTGTCCTACTCACACATGCCGGAGTATGGCAGTCTGTACTTCTCGTGGAACGAGGTTGATGGGACGGGAAAATGTTCCTCCGTTGTGTTGAAGGTCAAAGTTCGACGACGCTTGGGCGTCGGAGTTGTGAACGACTGGTGGGATGGGTGGCGAAGGATGCCACCCAAACGGGCAGGTGGAGTGATGTCGGGTACATCATGTACGACAGGGACTTGCCACACTGTACCTGTAACCCACGAAGCAAAGCCTCCCCAAGTGTGGGTAGAGATGTAGTCGTATCGGCCTCCCCATATGAGGGTAGAGGCGTCGTCCATGAAGACGTTTCACGTCCTCGACTGATTTCAGGAGGGGAAACTGATGTTCAACGAACGTTACATCGCGGCCCGTAAGCACGTAATGCGTGTCGAGGTTCAGTAGCTTGAACCCTCGAGATGTCTCGGGTAAGCCAATGTACATGCACAGCATGCCCCGGGGAGACAGCTTGTTCACACGCATAGGGATGTTGACGTGTGCATACGCTACACAGCCAAATACGCGTAAACGTGCGTAGTCTGGATGGCACTGGTGCCATAGACGATACGGAGTACCCCCACTGATGGTGGTGGACGGCAGTATGTTCATGAGGAGCACTGCGTGGAAAATGGCTTCTCCCCACAAGAACTGTGGTAAGTTACCATGCAGTAGCATGGAGCGAGCCGTGGTAACGATGATGCCCATACCCCGCTCGGCCACAGGGTTCTGGGTCGGGGTATAGGCATTCGTGTACGTAAGGCGGGTGCCGTATTCGCTTTGAATACGGGCCCCGAGTTTAACATACTCCTTAGCGTTGTCCATTTGAAGCACTCGGATTTCCTCAAATTCACTAGGTGGTGAGTGATGGTAACAAAGCTCAATGACGTCGGAGCGATAACGCTGCCGTGCGTCGCGACAGAACGCGCAGTACTTGTCGTACAGGTCCGCGCGTTTTTGCATGAACGTGACGAAGTATCGATCCCCAGAGATAGAGGGGATATTGATTGGACCCCACACGTCGGAGTGCACTCGTTCCAGAAGCCTCGACGACTTGAGCAATTTGTTGCGTGAAAAGGGAAGTACTTTGGACTTCGACCTTAAGCATGTGTCGCACGAAGCATGGGCCGTGATGGCCTGCCGAGAGATAGGAAATTCAAACACGGTCGAATGACGCTGCAATTTGCGTAGCTTGACATGACTTGGATGCCCCAGTCGATGGTGCCATTGCATAGTGCCCTGTGCACTCGACTGCGTCACGAGGACGGTCGGCGATGCGCGGTGAAAGCCGCGTCGCAATGGCATACAGCCCGGTGGCTTCGTCGTAGGTTGCGGTGAACTCGCCGTCGTAGGTGGCTAGAGTCCACTCCTGTGCGGTGATGGAGACAACTTTATGTCGATCCATATGTAGTGCACGACCCACGGAAAATAAATTGAAGTGTAAATCTGGGATGTGATATACATCCTGCAGATAGATCACTAATGTGTCGTCGTTGATGCCAGCGACCTCGAGTCGGACAGTGCCACGGCCGATGACTTGAAGTTGGTGGCCGTCGGCTGCACCAGCAAAGGATGAGAATGATTCATATGTGATGAACCACTCTCGATGGAAGGTGGAGTGCTTGGATGCACCACTATCGACCGTCCAGTGACGGGATCGCCTTTGTTCTTTGACACCCGGGCTGGTTGGTGACACACGAAGTGCCCATCCAGTACCCGTAAATACAAGTGATCGCGATACAGTAGTATCGAGCGAGTCGTAGTACGGACTGAAGTCCTGTAATAATGTCGAAAGTACTTTGATTGTGCTTGACTGGCCGGTCGACTTTTGTAGTCCCGTAAATGAAACATGTAAATGTTGTTCATCTAAAATATGTCGAGGCATAAATGCCGGCATCTGTGCGTGAAGACACAAATAAAAAGTCTGGTCACGTTGTTGACGTGTGTTTTGAGACACTAACGTTCGGGTAGAGCCGCGCGACGCGCTGCGGCTTTGGCTACGCTGGGGGGTGGAGGCCTGTTAGGCGTAGCCTTGGTCGACCGGCGGCGCGCTACGGCTGCGGCTACGATGGCGCCGGTCGTCGTACATGGAGTGACTGCGGCTACGGTAGTGCCGGTCATCTTGGTTGGTGCCGCTGTCAGGGCGATAAGGTCCGCGGTCGTCGCGATAAGGTACGCGGTCGTCGCGGTAATACCCGCGGTCGTCGCGATAGTGCCCGCGGTCTTCGCGGTAGTCGCGGTACCGGTCGCCGGAGCAACTACGATAGCGGGAGGCCTACTGACGAAACGGGCTACGGCCGCGTTGATCGTCGCGATAATCGCCGTGATTGAAACTGGCGTAGCCGGAATGACCGCCTTGTCCCATGCTGGCGTAGCCTGGACGGCCGCCTGGGGCGTAGCCTGGTGGACCGCTTGGTGCGTGACCTGGTGGGCCACTGGATGCATAGCCTTGGCGAATGATGTTGAGAAAGCGTGTCCCGGTTCCTCCACCACGCCCGCCGCCTTTGCCGTGGCGTTTGCCACCGCGGTGGCCGCTGGGTCCGCCTTGAGTTCGTCGACCACCACCACTGGGGGGTAGTTCGCCAGGTGGGATGGCAGCCCATCCTGGTGGGAACACAAAGTCTTGACGCACCGCGTTCTGGTGGAACGCCCGGAAAAACTTCGTACAGGTGAACGTCGAGTGGCTGCATGAGGACAGGCAGTAGCCACACCAATTTGCCATGGGGTCTTGGCCTTGGGCCCCCCAGGGTGCGGCTGCCGCTTGTCCGTAGCCGTCCTGCTGGCTCACGCCGTCGCGAAAGGGCCAATGCGCTAGATCGCGTTGTCGCGGGTGCTGAACCATGGACCGGTACAGCGAGGGCTGTCGGTTCGGGCCCGAGGATCGACGGATACTTGAGTGTCAAGTCCGGCCAGTGCTGCTCGAGCAGGCGGAGCATATCCTGGTATGGGATACTCGGTTTCGGGCCGAGCCACATGTAGTAATCCTGCATGATGCCGGAAGGCAGCGCCGCCAAGAGCGCGGAAGCGAGGTGGCTATCGCTGAGGGGATGCCCTTCCAGCTTTTCCACCGCCGTGCGCAGCTTGTCGAATGCCTGGAGATTCGCATCCAGGGACGCATGAGGTCGGAACTTGAACTCGTGGAGGCGTTGATACACGGAGATCGCCGTGGCGTGCTCCTGATCCTCGCTACAGTACTTGCCGCGGAGCTTCGAAATGATTTTTCGAGGTTATCGGCGTTCGAGAGGGATGCCCTGCACTAGTGCATACACGCGGCTGACCGCTGCACTTTAGGCCTTGAGCATGGACTCGATGTCCGCTCGGATCGTCTTCACGAGCACCTCGTTCGTGGAACGGTTGATCGAGAGCCACTCAATTAACACGACCTTGTGGGTGTCCAGCGTAAGGGGAGATGGGGTGGTGGTGCCAAGTTGGACGTTGGACGCTGCATCGAGATGATGGCGGATGCGCCTGACGTCGCTCTCAAGGACGTGGAAGGCTCAGATGAGTCCCTTCATGGAACAGACTGCCTCGACCTCGGTGCATTGCGTGGCCATGGAGTCCAACGCTTCACCAGGGAGGATAATCGACGTGAGTTCGAGGAACCAGTCGTCGTAGTTTTCGGTGCCAACGAGACGGTGGGTGATAGGCAGGGCGGCGCGAGAGGAGGAAGTCGGTGGAAGGCTCATAACCAGTTGGAAGAGCAGCTAGCAGCAGCAGACAGGGGAGTAGTGGAAGGGAGAACCGGAAGTGAATTAATTCTGACGACAGAGGAGAAACTGGCTCTAGATGTGCCAGTTCCTCCAACAGCCAATCAAATCCTAGATTATGATTGGTCACGGCATCCTGTGATGTTCCGTGACGAATCTGCGCTGTCTTCTACTCTGAGGAAAAGCCTCTAGAGAGCACAAAAACCTCCTACACAGCTAGCAGATACTGCTACCTGACTGACAGGGTAGTGGTGATGTTCTCTAGCAGAACAGGGTGTTCTGACTATACGGAGCAACACTTTTTTGATTCCACTCTCAGATCGAATACAAAATTGGCCTGAGTAGGTCATCTGAGGTATTTTTGGAGGATTACGAAAAACGACCAAAACACCAAACAGTGGCTGTCCGGTACAATGTGGCCCGACATTGCATTTCAGAAAGGATGGCAGGTACATACCACAGTACTAACCTTTTGTAGTACATACTGTTAGTAGGATTCTAGTATTTTCCAGTAGAGAGTATACTAGTATACTGTACGGCGACCTGGCCGCGTCATGGCAAAAGAAAAAATATCAAGATCTTGTTAGCAAGTTCAAACGTTTCTGAACAACAACACAAGTACACACACCACGACGTTGTCGGCTTAGATTTTGCCGCACCAGACAGTCTTCAAGTCGGTGAACGCGGCACATTGAGCATTACTGTACTCCGAAGGAAAGCAGTAGCTGATCAGAGGAGAATAGCACCCACTGCAGCCATTGCACATCGCCAGAGGGGAAGAAGGGAACAGACGGGGGGTTGCAACCGCTGCCGTGCGGGCCTTCGACGGGGAAGGGGGTCTGGCGCCACCGCCAGTCGCACGAGCGACGTTGATGCGACCGAATCCGTAGTTGTTGTTGGGGTACTTGGAATCCGACACCCCCCCACAGTTCTGGCTGCTTGGAGTCAAAGTCTTGGTGTCCACAGTGGTCGTGAACGCCTTGTACACTTGATCGTACTTGGCGCCCTTATTGGCAGACAAGTAGAGGGCAATGGCACCAGCGACGTGGGGAGACGCCATGGACGTACCCGAGATGGTGTTGTAGGCTGAGTTGCCAGTGTTCCACGCCGAACGAACCCTGTTACCAGGCGCCGACACATCGGGCTTGATTCGACCGTCTGCGGCTGGCCCGCGACTGCTTGTGGATGACAGCTTGTCGTCGATGCCCAGGTTACCCACCCCAATGACAGTCTTGTAATCCGCTGGAGTCCACTTTGTTGAACATTTAGGACCAGAGTTGCCGTTGGCAAACACGGGGATAATGCCAGCAGTGCGCCATGCGTTTACGACGGCTTGGTAAGTGTTGGAATTCATTTCGCTTCCCCAACTGTTGTTAATCACGTGGGGCGCCAGTTCACACTTGGGGTTTTTGCCGGTCGCGTCCGTGGGACACAGCATCCATTGCGCACATCCAATGAGCGCCGCTTCAGGGCATTTGGCGGTGGTGCACCCGCGGCAAGCAATCCACATGGCTCCGGGGGCTACCCCGATGCCGTTTTGGCCAACAGCTGAACCCGCGACGTGGGTACCATGGCCGTTCGTGTCGATGGGGGTGCGGGACTTGTCGGTGGGGTCGAACCAGCCGTAGGTCGATCGCCAGTTGCCCTTCAGGTCGTCGTGGGTATGGATGGCGCCAGTGTCCAAAATTCCCACCACGATGCCTTGGCCACGGTTACCTTTAGCCCATACCGCAGGAGTGCCGATGAGGTTGACCCCCCATTCGTTCGCGGCGCGCGTGGAGGTCACGTTGTTCTCACCCCATCCTTGAGGAATCCCCTCAGCAGAGCCCTCGTCGTCGTCGAAAATGACGGGACTGAGTTGCGCCGTGACAGGTTGTCGAATGTGAGCCACGTTGTCCAACTTGGCGAGTTCGTCCAGCACGATGCGGTTGGCGCCGTACACGTGCATGTTGCCGTTGATGTAGAAGCTCTCGACGCGGGTCGTGAAGGCTTCGGGCTGCGACGACAGCAGCTCCACTGCCGCGCGCTGGGACGTCTCCATGTTGCTCTCCAAGAGCGACCGAACATGGGCGATGCGGGCGCCGCGATCGTTGAAGCTAGCCCGCTCAAGACGGACGGCTTCCAGGGCGCGCTGGTTGCCTCCTTGGAATTCAATCACGACGTCCACGTCCTCATTGGATTCCAAGTGGCGGTGGACGCTGGGGGCGATTTTGGCCGTGGTGAGAGCGGCAAATGCCGCGATGAAAGTAGGCTTCACCATGATACAGTTGCTGGCAAATTGAAATTGTGGTGGAAGGCGGTCGTGATGCGATCAAGAATGAGCAGTTGCATGAATAATCAGACAAACTGTGTAGAATTAGAATTGCGCTGAAAGTGTCTTTAGAACTGTCGTTCCCTGTACATTCGGTCAGTGATATGAGGAATCTATCTGACTTCGGGCTGCTTGGATGATTCACACTAACGTTATCCAATCCAACGCCAGCAATTTTGGCATTCGGAGTCTCCCGTACCGGTATTGTGGGTCTACTATTAGTACGGATTTGAGTACTGTACCCAGCAGCTGGAGCTCACGTAAAAGCTTCGCCGATGAGAAAACGCCCAGTGGTCTCAGGGTTAGGGTGGCCAAGCGGCCCGTGATACCTGAGTTACCATGATGCACTTCCTCGTGTAAAAACTTTGAAATCGGGGGGTACTGTACTAATATCACACATTAAATGTATGGCCCCAACG